TTTTGGGGTAGTGAAAATTCATCCACCCCTCAGCTTCTGCACACCAAAACCTGCCAACCATTACGTTTTTTAGTTGACCGAGGACTTGGCATACCGGGCCACCAAAAAACGGCCTTCTAACAGATGACTGAGGCTTTTGTGTCACGGGCTCTCGTAGTATAAAGTCAACAAACTTTTTGCAGTGAATAGGGAACTTGCATGGGCGTCGTTTGGGGTGAGCAAAGGGGGGCATTTGCCCCCCCCCCTAGAAATAGGTACATTCAAAATGTACCTTGCAATAAATGCAAGAGAGTTCCTATTTTATATTTTTAAGAAAAAAATTGTGTTTGGTTTTTAGACTTTACTATTATTTATCTTTCGATTAAGACTAAAATGTTTATGCTTATGAATGATTATTCTGTTTTGTTTTAAGCTTTACCTGTAGTAATAGTTTGAAATATTTTTTTCAAGCTCAGAAGTTACTTCCTTTGTTCCTACCTATGCAGTTCTAAAATTTTGTAGTTTTATTTTTGTTAGACTGTCCCGTTGGGAAAAATTTGGTTTTTCGTTCCTATTTTTGTAACACTTGTAATTTGTACCTGATTTGTGCAATTGTATCTGTAGGTATTTTTAATAAAACATATATTTTGATGAAAGATTAGTGATTACCTAGTTGAGTAACGACCTTTAATGAATACGCTGTGCTGTGAAAAATTGGCTGACATTTTCATTACATTCAACGGAATTGAATTTCACTTGACTTAGGGCCGGTATTATAAATCACTGAACCGATGGTAGAGTTTCAACCTTCGGTTGAATCCTATCAATGGGCCACTTTCACGTGCTGGGAATATGGCAAATTATGATATTTTTTGACACAGATACATCAATGCAACCGAGAATGAACAATATTTTGCAAGATTTTAGTCAGATTATTAAATAAATTAATAAATAAAAACTAACAGCTGTATGCAACATCCTCTTTTAACGTAAAAGCGCTTTTTAAAACTGGTCACTTCTAAAAATGTGTATTCTAAACCATACAAATTTTTAAAGGTACCAGTTTTGAAAAGCGCTTTTAAGTTAAAAGAGGATATTGCATACAGCTGTAAAAATTTAAACGAAAAATCACGTGATTGAAAACGCTCTCTGATTGGCTAAAGCCGATTTTGACGTTTTTGTTGCCACATGTAGAAATGCGAAATTTAAATCAGTTAATAAGGATTATATCTATCCTTTATTTTTTTATAATGTAGTAAAGGACGAAAATAGTTTCTAGCTAGTGAAATGTGTAATGATTTACTAATGAGAAATTTGGAATCCTCGCATTTTTGTTGATTTTCTGGTTTGTGACGTCACAAACCAAGTTCACGTTTTCGCGCTAGTTTAAAAATTCGATTTTTAAATAATTTTTTTTTTTTCAAAAATAGGCGTTTTTTTTTTCGGAAAAAAAGTATTACCTACAGATAGTATTAGAACTCGTATTAGAATGACTAAAAGAATAATTTAAATATGTTTTTGAAATATGTGAAAGTGGCCCATTTGCATGAAGTCAACCGAAGGTTGAAACTCAATCATCGGTTCAGTGTTTTATAATACCGGCCATTAGAAAATTACCTAAACAAATGATGCGGACAGTGAATTTGCTGCGGAAAAAAATACCATCATTTTTAACTAAATATCGATATCAAATAAGTACGTTAAAATGCTCAAAAAGGGGCGTGGCACCAAAAAAAATTAGCCTACGGCGGTCGCTTGCGGCGCGAATGGAGATGGTCTTATTATAATACTGCCCCCACTAAGAAACCTCGTAACGACGCCCCTGACTTGCATGGAATAACAATCATTACATTGATCAAATAAATGGAAGGTATACAGATGTTAATAAGGGCACTTTCGCCAAATTTTTCGAATTTATTCAAAGATACAATCCTTACGAATTTTTAAAAATTATGTTGCTACCTCTACTCCGCATTGACTTATTAGGATACTGATACCTGCTACGAAATGACGTCACATAGTATTAGTCTTTTTAATGCTAAAACTTAATTAATTTTGAAGATGTTCAAATTTTTTTTTGCACAGAATTGGTTCCGAACATTGTGAGGAATCAAGGGCCAAGTTGCCAATTAATTTGAAGTGGTTATCATAAATCTTTTTGTTTTTACAACTTCCTTTGCAAGTACCTACCACAATCAGGAGTGCAAGAGAGACTAAGGTGGTGACAGGAACACCTCATAGTATCACCTCCTGTCTTACAATTGCAATTTTCCATGCCTTGCAACTCCTTCCACATAGAAGACAGCTCACTCCATTTTGGAGTTTATTTATTGTTGCTCATCAAGGTCCAGCCCAGTTTTCAGGAGATGAAGAAAGCGACCTGCCTCATATTTGTCCAGCTTGATAAACTGCTCTTTTGGCTTGTTCCAGAACGCTACCTTGAGACGGAGGAGTTGAACTGAATGGTTTGCTCTCCACAGCAGAAAAGAGATTCTCGATCCTCGTTGGCACTAAAAGATTCACGTTTATGTCGTACATACGTAAGTACAGTGAATCTTTTCATGCCTTTTGAAACGTTAGCAGGAAAAATATAGCAGCTACTTCTACTGCTCAAATATTCAAATGGTGTGGTGATCTCTTCGTCCCTCCAGGCCATCCATGCTTGTTTTTGCAAGAAAAGTTACCGTGTCACAACCTGTGTAGGCGTGTGCAATGCACTTATGACGTCCCACATTTGCTGCGATGGCATGACCAGCAATATACCTATCTTTTGTTTTTTCCCGTTCCAAGTAAACTGCTGGACAAATGAAGCGGAACAAGGGAATTTTTAGTTTAACTTTGGAATCGAATATTACGCGAACCAAAGAAGAAATAATCATTGAGCGGTTTGTGTAATTTAAAAGATAATTCCGCAAACCGTTCATTGTTTTATTTTCCAGTTTGCGTAATATTGGAATTTACAGCTAACCTAAACATTCGCTTGTTCCGTTTCATTTGTCCAGCAGTTTGATGCCATATAATTCGCGGAGAGTATGAGGTATTTTTTTGCGAATAAGATGTTTATAATAGCGGTGTTATTCGAGCGAATAAATTATGACGTTTCTCGCGGTTTATATCGTTCATAGAGCTCAAGACGAGGTAGGAGTAGGCACGGTTGGCAATTTTTTAAAACTTTATTTATAAAAATCTGATTTGGTCTCAAGGTAGCCCATGAAGTGGGCCACTTTGAGACATACATAAAAACCATAAGAAAAGGAGAAAAATAAGGTTTATTCAAAAATAATACATCGTAACGAGGGCGGTAAGATAACTTTTCTCCATTATTTTGGGGGTTTTCAACATATCTTGCAAATGTTTAATGTTTCACATATGAGACACGTCTCAAGGTGGCCCAAACTTTATTTCTCATTTGCAGCCCATGGTAGGCTGAGTTACAAGTTACGTTACAACCCGCAATATTTTGGTAAAACGTGACAAAATCGACTCGTAATATATATAAACAATGAAATTAATATCCACCTGTTGTGTTGGAAACCTCAGAAAAAATGAAAATATATTGGGAACGACTGATGAGGTACTAACTTGTAGCAAAAGAAATTTTACTCTGGCGGAAACATATCGAAACCGGCAAAAAATTCGGGAGCGCACGTGCAGCTTCTTTGGCAACAGAAATAAGACTAACATATTCAGTACTTGATGTACTGTGAAATGGAGAAAAAAAGCCCACGTTAATAAAAAATAATGGCGACTGTCTCGTGGCAAACGCGTCTCATGGTGGCCCGCCCTCCCCTATGCCTTCAGTTTAGGTTGCTGAAACTTTGTTAATGAAAATCAGTATTTCCTTTGAGAGTGAAATATTCACAACAGTTTCAGAAAAATCTATAAAACATCGGAAAAACTTATTAGAGAAAAAAAAAAACATAATATTGAAAATGTGTTTAACAACATTGTTAAAATGATATTTGTGAAATGTGCAACAAGACAACGAGCCTAACCAAGGAAACATTCATGGTTTTCCGATGGAAGCAAAAGTTTGTCAGTTCTCCTTTCATCACATATCACATGTTATTGTGGATTTTTCTATTTTTGATGATGACTAAGGGTTCCCAAGCAGTTCAAAGAAGGATATTCTCATACTTTCCATCAACCAAAGTGACCTTGATTAATGTAAGAAATTTCTATAAAACCTGCCAAATTTTCTGCTACAAGATGCACCATATGGGTACCTACCTAGTTTAATAGTCATTTGATCTCATGTCTGTATCTAAAAGATTTTATACCTTCAAAATTTGTTCATGTTTGTTGATCCTGATTATACATGGTATACCTACTGGCGAAAAGGCATGCAAAATCAAGCATTTCTTGTTTTCATCTCACTACTTCTATAATTTCCATATTTTTTTCCGACTATGGGGAGTGTTCAGCCCGATTTTTCAGATACGATATTAATGAATTAGATTTTTGTAATTTGGCTAAGGTGGATTATTTTTGCTAGGTTCCAAAAGCTTCAAAGCTCCGAAAAAAAAAATGTTGTAGGAAAGTCGTATTCCTAAATTGAAAGGGCTAAACTGAAAAGAAGATATTCCTGATTTGCCCCAGATGTTTCTCTCTAACTTACTCATCAATAGTTTCTAAGAAATGGAACTTAAAATCCAAAAAAGTTCCCCCATTTTGTTGTCCGATTTTCAAGTTCTAAATTTTTGAATTAGTTTACTTCAAATCGGCCAGATTCAATACTTTATTACTGTCCTCAAGCATTCAGGTCTCGACATTCAAAAGTTTGAAAACTTATAACTAAAAGCAAAGTTCCAACGATGTTGAATTTTGAATCATCCGACTATCACAGATTCTTCTTAAATTGTTTATTTTCAAGTCTACGAAAATATCCTAGGAATTAATTTCTCTTTCCGCCCGTTTCAATGTGTAGTTCGAAGTTATTGGTCTCGGTCATGGTCTTACGAGGTCACTCGATAACGAAGAGTCCGAAGAAAGGACTTTTATTCATTACGCTTCTTCACTTCTTCAATTTCTCTTCAGCGCGGTTTTCGTTCGACCAAATTAGTTTTTAGTTTTAGAGTAATTAGACAGAAATGAATTCTATCAATAAAATTACTGTGGTGCTTTTGATAGGATTGGTGCAATATAACAGAGCTCAAAATCGTAAGTATATCCTAGAGTGTAATTCAATTAGGAAATAAATCTTATTAATATTTATATTCAGTTTGTCGCAAAAGGCTTCATAGTCTTGTTTTTAATTTATTAGTCAAAACAAGTAGGTAATAGATTAGATTAAATTAGTAGGTATGTGTAAACTTTGTCACTTTCATTGATCAATAAAAAAATGGGCATAGGAACCGTTAAAGAAAGTTGTTCCATGCATGGCTTCAAATGAACATCGAATAAGTAGGTAGGTATACCTAATGCTAAATGTTATTGTATAACTTTTACACTAGAGTCAAAAAAAGGCAGAGCCGGCGAGATCAAATCAAAGAATTTTCGTTCAACAAGGTTGAACAAAATATTGTACTCAACTATCAAAAATGTACCTACAAAATAACATTTTAGAAAATTTTGCCATATTTCAATGGCAATTTACCGTACGACACCTTCAAGAAATATATTCATAAAAACCTGTACCAAAACGAATTGCAATTATTGGTAACGGTACTTTACCAGAGGTGACTTCCTCCGACGCGATATTTTCACTTATTGAATGCGAATATTTTTTGATATAAAAATAGTCAAATTTGTATGAATCAGAAAGTTGGCAAGCTAAAAAATCGGTCAAATACCTACGACATTTTTCTAAGCAGCTGTCACAAAACCCCAGTTTTTTAGTTTATTCAATAGGAAGGTTCGTTTGTTATTCTTTTATTTAAACTGAAATCGAGAGATTTTATTATTAGAAAACGATCAAAAAAAATTTGAACGCAAAATATTAATATTTGCGTTTGTTGCGAGCAGTTTAAAATCAACGATAGGCGCCAAGATAAAAAACATACCTCTACGCGAGACCTAGGCTGCATGACATCAGTCATAGATTTAATATCTACTAACGTGACAAGATAGGTAACGCCCTATCTAAAAGCATTGGACCAAGGTGGCTCAAACATGTGTTAAAAATCTCTACGTATTCTCAAGTAATACGTAGAGGTATTTTATTAGAAGCAGAGGTTCCCATAGGCGTACTCATAAAAAAATAATTTTTTCAAATATATATTTGATTCCAGAAATAGGTAGTTTTGAAAATGATAAATTTGAGCATTAAAACTGTAAGCAAACTGGACTGTATCCAAAAAAAATATACATGAGATGGAATTAAAACAATAGGTCTGTTTCTACAGAAATCACAAACCAGTCAGAGCGAATTTCATTGGTTGAAAACAGTTAGAAAACTAGTTTCAACCAATGAAATTCATTCTGACTGGTTTGTGATTTCGGCAGAAACAGACCTACTAATATTTCGTTAAATTATTTTTTTTTTTTCTCTTTTTTTGGGGATTTTTATCAAAAAAGGGTAGCTTTGTAATACTTTAACAACAATGCCAAAAAAAAAAAACAATGTTTATTTAGAATATTAATAATAATATTATAGTTTATAGAAAGTCAATTCGAATAGCATAAAAACTGTGTAGGCGGCATCTTCTTATGAAATTAAGCATATGCGTGCAACAGCCCAGAAATTCTTGAGAACAAAGAATTCTAATTCTAATTCCTAGGCTGTTGCACGCATATGCTATATGCTCAATTTCATAAGAAGTGCCGCCTACACAGTTTTTATGCTATTCGGATTGACTTCATATAAACTATACACGAGTTGAGGTATCTACTGATAACAAAAATATACTTGAAGCAAACTGATCAATAATGCAAATACTGAAAATATAATGCACTGAACTTTCAAGCGAATATCTTAGTACTATGAGTACCTATATTTTTAAAGTCGACTATATCATCAGAATGATATATTGTCACCATTAAGGACGCCGTGTATGATTCAAACTTAGTACTAACCACTGTTTAGTAGTCAAAGTAGACGCAGACCAAACCACTAGTTGGCCAACCAATAATTTGGATCATTTGTTGTCATTCTATAAATTTGTTGATAAATTAATCCAAATGAAAATTAATTTCTTGCTCCCGAGAAGTTCCAAATTGAGCCGAACTTCATCTTTATATGAAAGTTGGCAAACTTTTAGTTTTATTCAATTGGATGATGGACATAACACCATTAATGAAGATAATTTCAGTACATTTAATTCCTAATTGAGAGGTCCAAACAAATCACGAATATAGATTCATCTAAAATCAAAATTAATTATTTTTTTCCACATAAACCTATGAATGAGTACCTCGACAAGTACCCCTAACCTGGGCAGTACTTGAGAAGCGCTGGTGCTTGGAATAACAGGAACAGCAGAGGCTTTTAAAATTTTAGCACCAGTTTTTGAAAATCTATAGTCTTCACTGTACAAACATACGTCCATTCGCTTACTGAGCTGGATTTTAAATTAAATGCTCCTAACCATCTTCTTTTCATATCATAAATTATCCGGAATACTAAAAATAATGTTTATTAGAAATACAAAAATTAAAATATCGGGTCTTCTAAAAAAAAACCAATCGAAGATTGCTTTGATTACGAAAACGTACGTCGTATTACTGTTTATTTATTGGACAGTATTATTGACAAATCATTTTGACATTAAAGTTCATTGAGAAAATTAAATAAAAATATTGCTAAGACATACGTTTAAAAAACCATAGCAATCTTAGATTGATTTTTTTTTGAAGACCCGATATGTAGGTACTATGTTGTATTTTTGTGGCCTACATGCACCTCCGACACTGGTTTTTTTCCCTTCAATCATGTCGATGTCATAAGTTTTGTTTACTAACCGGTGAAATGATAAACAATCCTCTGGTTTTCCTCTTTTCTGACAAACTGCACACTTATTAGTCATTTTGAATCCTGAATAAGAAACTTGCACGAAATGTTTAAACATGTAAATAATTATTTTTTAAACAATTCCACTTCAAAGCAGTGATACACCCAAAAAAGTCGATAAAATAAACACACAACAACATGAATATTGACATGTGCTAGTGAGGCAATCGGTTTCCATTGGGAACCATCCAAACAATATACTCTGTTTAGCTAGACTTGAATAGTGTTCTTTTCGTTTACATATTGCCTTAGAGTGAGATGTCTAAAGATCCAAAATGTAAACGGATTTTTGGAAATCGTACTATGGAAAACCAGCGTAAACAAAGTAAGAGAGACAAAATCAAAATATTTGGAGAGAGATCTTTGTACCATATTTGGAAGTTGATTACTCATCTTTTAGTGTTAACTATATATAATCTAAGACATCAGTAGCCAGGTACGCCACGTGAATTCATATAGGTACCCTCCGTATCGGCCTTCACGCAAACGCTGATCCGATTAACCCAATCACCACCTGATGTAATTTGTCTTTTTTCAATCGTGTTCATTGAAGAAAGATGAAAAACAGACAGCTTGTGGTACAGGTACGTTTTTTATCCTGCACCGATCGTTGATTTTTAACTGCTCGCAACCAACGCAAATATTAATATTTTGCGCTCAAATTTTTTTTAATCGTTTTTTAATAACAAAATCTCTCGATTTCAGTTTAAATGAAAAAATGTCGAACCTGCCTATTCTAACGGAAGAATCAGATTGAATTTTCAAATACCTACCATAATATGCTCAATTTCACCCTATATCTTTTAGTAAAAATATGCGATTTTCATCAGATACTCTTGAACAATTCTGTCTCTATATAATCCACTGCAACCATTTTTTTTTCAGCTTATTACTTTATAAAACAATGCCATATTTCCGATACGGACGTCAACCAATGTCTGCGACAATCCACCAATTACCTCGTATCAAACATACGTAGAGGCGTTCCAGAACTGAACCTAAACGATCCAGAGCCAGTATTCATCGACGAAATTCAATTGGCTTTGGGCAGCGGGCCAGATGATTACAGAGCCATTTTTAAGAATATCGAAGCTTATGGCGTTAGCAATTGTACTGTGACTGCCGTAAGGTAATTATATTTATTCACATATCTATTAGTCAATATAATGTTGATGTAAACGATTTGCTTTTTTTGAGAAAACCAAAGAAATACTTAAGAGCATGATAGCTGGCGTTGCCCATGACGACGGAACTTTTAGGAATTATTGATGTTATCATTCCAGAAAAGTAGTCTTCATTATTATCGCCCGATATTTCTTCCTGGGAACCGCTAATTGATTTTGAGATTCGAATCCAAGAAAACCTCCATTTAAAATGCCTCTATCTATCACTACTACCAATGTGAGTTTTATTAACCTGACGACCCTTGCCGGAAGGCCTTTCTAAGCCAGTCGAAAGGCTATCCACAAATGCCTTGTCAACATTTTCAATTTGTTCACTATGTCCTTCGTTAAGCCACGTTTCGTCCAAGTAATAAATGTTTCTTTGTTCTCTTTTGTACTTTCTAATATCTTTTTGATTGTGTTCTTCAACAGATTATTTCTTGTTATTAATCGATTTCCTGCTCTGCTTCTGCCAACAAATTTTCAACTCGTGTAATATTTCCCCATACCATTTCTGGTATACTCTTGCCCACCCTTATTACTGCTAATATTTTATCTATTAGAGAGTTATTGGAACTATTAAATACTGCTTCGCAGTATTAAGGATTTACATTATTTTATTAGTGCATCGGCACTATATTTCCAAGAAAAAAACAGTTATTGGAAGACTGTAGTAGGTGCTAGAGTATTACCTTATTTTGTATACATAATTTTGACAGCTGATAGCTATGTTTATAAATTTCAGCCTCAAAAAGTATTTATTTTTGTTTGTGATTTTCTGCTGATACCCATTTTTTGTTGTTATCCACAGTAAAATAGAAAGCTATTGTAAAAAATAAATTTTCTAAGTAAAATTACGTCATCGTCGAAAAGCGAAACGTCAAAGTCATTCAAAATGTCAGAAATTTGAAATAAGGGAAGTTTACTGCCTTGCACTAACCATACACAAATAAACACAAGCAGTAACCTTATTAAGGGAATCCTTATTTTCGGACCCAAATGCGCATGCGTAGATGTCAAAATAAGGCTAATTTAAATACTGGTTGTTCTTATTGCACGTCCAATAACTCTCTATTGTTGGGATCTCGTTATTTAAATAAAATGAATGTACTTACTTACTTTCCATCGTATTATACGTCTTGCTAGTTCATCAACATCTAACACACAGTTATCAATTTGTCTTTCTCTAAGGCCGTGTTTATGTTGGAGCTGTGATAAACGATAAAAGCAACGATACTTATGATACTATACATTAGTATCGTTGCTTTTATCGTGTATCACAGCTCCAACATAAACACGACCTAAGAAGTCTATAGATTGTTGCTTCACTATTCACTGATCCTGTCATATTGGCACATGTCGAGACCAGTGGCGGCTGGTGAGAGGAAAAGTTGGCGGTGCACACACTCAGGGGAGAAGCCCCAGAGGCGCGCAAATTTTTTTGGACTGACCCAAACTAACCCAAATTTTGATCAAAAAGTTGTAAAAAAAACACGCCACAGAAAGTTTTTTCACTTATTCTCAATTCAAACGTGGGCATTTACCATTTCTACAAAATAATAAATGAAGCACGGGCGTAGTATGAGAAATTTAATGAAACAGTTTATTATAAAATAAGACATAAGGCACCATACGAATCAAATAGGAATCAAATTTATAAAAAATATCTACTGCACTGTCTTTCCAGACGAAACTGATTTCTTTGCGGCAGGCGCTTCAAAGAAATATGCCGCCCTATGGCGCCAGGGACGCCGCTGAAAAATCTAACCAATAAGATATTCCTGCCTGGACTCAACGTTGACTGTCTATCGATAGTCGAATCAAATGAGACAGTAAAAAAAATTAAATTCCTTTGGTGGTCGGCGTTTCAGCCCCAGAGATTTCGAGACTTTTCCAGATATTATCCAGACTTATTCAGAGCTTTCCAGATTTCATTCAGATTTATCCAGATTTGTACAGACTGATCCGGATTCTGGAAAATGATCCCCAGGTCTTTTGGGAACTTTTCCAGAATTTTTCCCCCTTTCAAGAAATTTCCGGCCTGTTCCAGACGTTTCCAGAGATTTCCAGACATTATCTAGACATATCCAGAGCTTTCCAGACTATATCCAGATTAATCCAGACTTTATCCAGACTTGTTTAGACTGATCCGGATTTTGGAAAATGATCCCGAGGTCTTTTGGAACCTTTTTCAGAATTTTTCCAACCCTTTCCAGAAATTTCAAAGTCTTTTCCAGACGTTTCAAGAGATTTCCAGACTTTTCCAGACAATATCCAGACTTATCCAGAGTTTTACAGACTTTATCCAGATTCATCCAGACCTTATCCAGACTTGTACAGACTGATCCGGACTGAAAAATGATCCCCAGGTCTTTTGGGACCTTTTCCAGAATTTTTCCGACCCTTTCAAGAAATTTCCAGGCCTTTTCCAGACGTTTCCAGAGATTTCCAGACATTATCCAGAGATTTCCAGAGTTTTTCAGACTTCATCCAGATTAATCCAGACTTTATCCAGACTTGTTCAGACTGATCCGGATTCTGGAAAATGATCCCCAGGTCTTTTGAGACCTTTTTCAGAATTTTTCCAACCCTTTCCAGAAATTTCCAAGTCTTTTCCAGACGTTTCCAGAGATTTCCAGATTTTTCCAGACAATATCCAGACTTATCCAGAGTTTTACAGACTTCATCCAGATTTATCCAGACTTGTTCCAGCTCACTTGGCTTGTTCCAGGTTCTTTTTGTGTGTTGTGTGTTAATTAAATTGCCGCAAAAACTAATCCGGGCCGTTCGATCAGGTGGCCCCGTTTATACGTATAAAAACAGCTGGTTACTGGGAGCGCGGCGTGACCATCTCCAACGTAATTGCCGTGTTGCAGCGGGGCCGTTGTGAGATGGGCTCGGACGGATAGTCCAGCGAGTTTAGTTTAGTCAGTCGCTTAAATTATTGTCTAGGAAATTTAGGAATAATAACTACAGAAATGTTTCCGTCGGAATCAAATAATAAAATGATAAGTAATTTGATCTGACGATTGTAATAACTATTGAACTAAAAAAAAAAAAAAAAGTATTTTAAAAGGACCGACATATTTTGCGCCAGTGCCACGGCCCCTTGGCCCCTTAGGGCCAGCCGCCACTGGTCGAGACTACATCGGATAGTACCTACTAGGTTTCTGATACACAAGTGTACCTAACACATCGCTGTTCCAGAAGAAAACCGACGTATAAGCGAAAACAATAATTTTATTTGTCACTCATTTGTAAAACGTCATTTATCAAGTCAAAACATAAACAACGAAAATTGATTTTTACCAGTTACTGGCTCTACTGACTTGTAAAATTGACAGCTAAACTGTAAAAACTTTTTACCTACGAGCGTGCGGTAAAGTGCACTTTACTGCACGTATTTGCAAATGGAAAGTAGCACTTTACCGCACACTATGCGGTAAAGTAAACTTTACAGCATAGTGTGCGGTAAAGTGAACTTTACAGCATAGTATGCGGTAAAGTGGACTACAAAGTGTGCGGTAAAGTGCACTTTACCGCATAGTGTGCGGTAAAGTAGAATTTGATATTTATAATCAAAAATCCTTTTTTTTTCCAGAAAATGGACTTTTGATAATTTCTAAATCTAATCTAATTTCATTCATTAATTTGATTCAATAATTAATTTTTTCAATGCCCTTTTTTGGAGATGTAGATGCTCATAGGTAAAATTTTGTACCTAACACATGCGGAAAGTGCCTTTACCGCCCTTAACGGCTTGACCGAACTCCGCTTCGCGTCGTTCGGTCAACTGCCGTTGCGTGCGGTAAAGTATCACTTTCCACATTTGTTAGGTAAATAACTATTACAAGTCAGTAGGGTCAGTAGAATTATTTATTGAAATTGTATTACCCATGCATAATTTTTTTATTTATTGTTTACAAATGAGTAACAAATAAATTATTGTACATCATACGCCCGGTATCAGTTTTTACTGGCTCTTGAAGGTGACAAGCTCGCCTGACGGCTCGCTAGTCATTTCCTTCAATCACCAATAAAAACTGTTTTACCTGGCTAATAATGTAATAGTTATTTACCTAACAAATGCGGAAAGTGATACTTTACCGCACGCAACGGCAGTTGACCGAACGACGCGAAGCGGAGTTCGGTCAAGCCGTTAAGGGCGGTAAAGGCACTTTCCGCATGTGTTAGGTACAAAATTTTACCTATGAGCATCTACATCTCCAAAAAAAGGCATTGATAAAATTAAATAATGAATCAGATTAATTAATGAAATAAGATTTAATTTAGAAATGATCAAAAATCCATTTTCTGAAAAAGTAAGGAATTTTGATTATAAATATCAAATTCTACTTAATTGCACACTATGCGGTAAAGTGCACTTTACCGCACACTTTGTAGTCCACTTTACCGCATACTATGCTGTAAAGTTAACTTTACCACACACTATGCTGTAAAGTTAACTTTACCGCATAGTGTGCGGTAAAGTGATACTTTCCATTTTCAAATACGTGCGGTAAAGTGCACTTTACCGCACGCTCGTAGGTAAAATACTATTACAGGAGAGGCCAAAAACAAATTACAATTAATTAATTTTATAATTTTCAAGGGGATAAATGTTCATTCTGTCTAAAAATAAAAACCCTAACAGTATTTTTTGGACCGCTTTAAGTACGCACTGATTGAATAAAAATAGTTTTTGAAATTGATGGTGAATTTTGAATTTTGTAGTTACATCGTTATACAGTGTGTCCCAGGGAAAACAGTCCACCCCGATTTATTGGGTTTGGGATGAGAATCCGGGATAACGCTCGGACACGTCGATGTTTGATTTGAGGGGGAACTATTTTTCAGTTTTTTTCATCCCCGTAGCTTCAACCCCCTAGCTAGGGGGAGACCAACCCCCTAAATTTGAATAGGGAATAGGGGTCGTGTCATACCTCTTTTTAAAGGTCTCATCGAG